ATTTTTCATCTCATTAATTATCAAAAAAAAAACATCTAACCTCCGTGAGTTTGCCCAAAAAATAATGCAGATTTACCTCGTATTTTGATATTGAATTAAATAGAATTACTATCAAAAACTTTCATGAAACTAATCCACCAGTAAACTACTGAAATATGTATATATTTTCATAATTAGTTCATTAATAATTATTTTATAAGACTATCGAAACAACACCCGTAAAATGCAATTGTACTAGTGCAAATCTACCTAGTACCTACGCGCCGATTAGTATGGCAGCGATGCAATTTTCTAAAAGGGCTTTTAAATACGGCTTATGATATATCCCGAAGGAAGATTGACTGCCGCAAAACGTAGACTTAGTGAACCTTTAGATACGGAACCCAACAGAAGAGTAGGTATACTTTTTCTCACACAAGCGTTTAAATTATACCTTATAATATAGCGATAAAAATAATTTTGTATCTTATGATAACAGTGTACAGCGATATAAATTGTCGTTACGTCCACTAAATGCATTATTTGGATAAATGTATTTTCATAAGCAAATTTATTAAAATACGTGTTGGACTCCAGTTTTATAATTTCGATTTCATTTAAATAAGTATTTTTTTTTATTTACACCTTTTTTGGGTTGCATACCGAGATGGACGAAATCATCCAGAAAAAAACAGTAAAGTGAGTTGAAAACATTTAGAAAATCTCTGCCTTGATTTTCAGTGGTCTATTATCAAAAAGTATACTTCAATATCGATTGTCGCGAAGCTCGATGACGCAGGCGCAGGTGGTAAGCGCGTTCGGCTGTAATCGTTGAATTTAAGCAACTTTCGCAGTGGTCGGTCATTGGATGGGTAACCAAAAATCTTCTATCTCTAGTTCCTCCGTACTTCGGAAGGCACGTTAAGCAACGGCTTAACATGCCCGGCAGCTGGGACCAACGGGTCCCAGTCATTAGGACCCGCCAGCACCACCCTTTAATTATTTATTTATATGGGTGTGTGTACGTGTTGGTCTGTATGGTGTGTATGGGTGTGAGTGTGTGTGGTGTGTTTGTATGAGTGTGCGTGTGTGTGTAAGTATGTATGTGGTGTGTGTGTAATAATTTAGGTAATAACTAGCTGACCCAGCGAACTTCGTACCGCCATAAAAAAAATTAATTAAAAAAACATTGTCCAGTGGGCAAAATTGTGAATCTAAACCATTCTCAGATCCCCTTGAACACACACAAAAAATTTCATCAAAATCGGTCCAGTCGTTTAAGAGAAGTTCAGTGACATACACACTCACAGAAGAATTATATATATAAAGATGTATTAGGCTCCACCAAACTCACGAGTAAACTAATCATATTTTTTTTTTCATTTCAGACCTAGCACTGCAACAGTGTATAACGAAGCTAAAAACCAACTACCACCAGACCCGCCAACAAAAGATGATGATGACAGAGAAAGGCAATCGCAAATAAACAAAGAAGAGAAAGATAAACAATAAATACTCAACTCCTGATATAATCATTTGGACACATTTTTTTTATTTTAAAGTTAAGCTCCAACTTGTGTGTATGCGTGTGTGTGTGTATTCGCATACTGTGTATGTGACACAGAGAGAGATACCCGCTGCTGCTCCAGTCAGCCTGCACTGCGATCCAATTTACTAAAATTATTTGACACCTACCTAAAGGACAATGGCGAACTCCCATACAATTTTTTGTTGAAATTTTTTCTTGCGTCTATAAATGAATTGCATGTTAAATTATAGAGTTTACATTCTTGGTTTGATTCATCTTATTTCTTATATTATAGGAAGTCCGGATTTATAGATATTCTACTTTGTTAGAAGTTTAGTTTTGGAGGTTATGTCCTACCAAGTAATGCAAAAACGAATTATAAAAGTTTGTTTCAAGAGTATTTTTATATCAAAATAAAAGATACGTGGAACGGAACTATAGAAGTACACCGGTCCTGAAGATTAGTGACGAAAAAAAATTATTTTTTACAATGTATGATCAGTTGGCTTTCTTTCTTTCTTTCTTTCTTTGGCGTAGGTACTGACCAACCGCGTCAAAATACTTATTATCAGACAAGAGTTATACAGTTCAAATACAATGTCTGTGCTGAAAGAAGTACTGAACAATTTGAAAATGGCCACTGCAATAATAAAGTATAAAAAAGGATTTCTAATAATCTAATGAGATATTAATTAAATATGCAACACTTTTTATATATTTTTTACTCCACATCGTTGATCACAATATCGTAGATAGTAGATACAATGAATTAAAATCCACAGTATGGGACAGAATCGTGTCCAAAATCCACAGCAAAATATCAGATTCGGAAGTCTTAGGCAAGCAATACTCAACAGTCGCAGAGAAAGATTTCGAAAGTCCAAATACAGTCCAAGTCATATAAAAAAACAAATCTCAGAAAAACACAATACGCCGATTGAAATCTTTGCAATATGCATGCACCTAAGCACAAACAATGTTTTATAATGATAACAATAACAAAAACAATTCGATGACAAGCATGACAGTGACAGTTATAGTTTTTTTTCGTTAGGATTGTAGCCATACTCTTTTTGTATTGTGGAGATTATTTAATATGGTTTCAGTATAATATTGAAAAATAATGTTTCCCGATATTTTTGATAGATAATTAAATACAGTTCAAGCGTAAAGCGATGCAAAACATACGAACAACATATTTAAAGTTGATTCATCACTAAAATCAATAAAAATGAATGCCTCAAAAGCTATCATGGCCAAGCCACAATAAAAAAAAAATTAATAGTCAATTGTGCTTCCCTTTTTTTAAGTTTTTAATTCCAGACTTAGACAACCCTCCTCAATTGTTTATTAAATCTGTTGAGATTATTTTATTAACATTTCTGATAATGACATCTATAGACGCTATAGATTTACTTCAACAAATATTTCGCCATTGTCCTTTAACCTTTCATAGTCTCTCATGGCCCATTCATGACAACGACGTACGAGTACTAAGTAAAGTAAGTAATACGAAACATAATACTTACGTAATATGTTATTTTGTCAAACGAAAGATATTGTAAAATTGTCTCTAAAAGTAAAATAAAAGTGACGACTTCGTGGATGTTTGGTATTGAAGAATAAGTCAGCTGAACACTGTTATCCAAAAGGTAGACCCAATAAAGTTCTAGTAATCTGATTCACTACATGATCATTTTTTATGTAAAGGCCTAGGAAAGCTGTTTTTTATTGAGTGTGTATGCTGTTGGTCGCTGATGACCTTTACAGCGTCACCGGATTTGGGGACGGTGAGATCCTAAGGGGACCTCAAATCGAGAACTGGCGAGTGCCTCTAGATGTATGTAAAGGCCTAGGAGAGCTGGTGCTAGCTTAGCCTACTGTAAGGCTTGTCCCATGGGATACTAGGGATTATTCGTCAGGATAGAATACATAAATACTGATACATGATGATATTTTTTATTTAGGAATACACTTATGGACTTTTTGGCGGGATCGGGTAGCGTCACTTTAGCAGTTTTGTTTTTCTTGTTAAAAATTGTGTTGTGGCGGATGTTAGTGTCTAATAATGGTGGATTATTAACTACTAAGTGTTCGGGAACATGCATAAGTGTTGGCAAGTGAAACAAAATAGCGGAAAGTGTCTTTCGACGTTCCCTCAAGAAGTCCACGGGGAGGTGCCAGTAAATCTCCACACATTTACTGAAACATAGGGAAAGGGGATTTGACTTGACTGCCACTTACTTTGACTTGATTTATTACTTTGATCACGAGTGCTATAGAATTTGTAAACATTTTAACACTTGACATTGGCTAAATGCACAAGCCGTGCGAAGCCATTTAGAAAAAAAATACACTTATGTGTTAGTTCTCCATGACTTCTTCTTCATTGAGATACAAATGCACTTCTTCATCATACAAACATTTTCCCCACCGGGATTCGAATCCGGGACCTCTGAGAAGGCGACACATTGAAAACCGGAGCACATACCTCTCAAACAAATACCAAGGAGGTCATCAAAAAAAAGGGTTCGGCTCTCAAGCTTGGCGGTAGACGAAATAAGTTTGAGCACCTCTGATATAACTTGGTAAAGTTAGAAATTGACGCATTCTATGTTTCTCTTCCACTCCCAGTACAGTATGGGAGATAAAATGACAAAATTGTACTCAACATTACACATGCCTCTAACTCAAACTGATAGGAAATTACGTGTACTGCTAAAAGCTGGGGAATCCCAGAAAAATAAATACTTCTCTTCCAATTTTCGGTACAGCTATTATATTGTACAAAAATGATAAAATGGATATCGAAAAAGATTAGACCGTTTGTTTTATCATCATCACAGTGAAAATGATTATAATAATAATAAAAAAAATATGTTTTCATGTATATTTTGCTAGTAATACCCTTTTTTTCACGACTAGGTAACTAAACTCAAGTGAATTAAAAAACTATGTAGTTGCTACCGATTATGTGATTTTTGTAACCAACTCTATGTTTGTGCTGATAATAAATATCATCATCATCAAACTATTAATGTCGTTGTCAGAGTCAATCAGTCTTATACTTGCCATGTGTCTTTCTTTCCAAGTTCGGATAAAATTTATCCGAATTTGGGAAGTATGGGGTTATTCTGTATATCCTGTTGGTCACATCAGGAAGAAACGTCGTTAAAACAGATTGACTCCAGCAAATGAGACTGACCACTAACTAACAACTGATTTCTTAGTGACATTCCCATTTACTGTCTCCTTTTGGTTTATACAAACTATAATATGTGCGTCTCTCTTCCGTGAAATCACTTCTAGTTATCATCCGCACAAAAAAGGACGTCACTGACCTCAATGTTCTAACGGTGGCTTGGTTCGACAAAGTTCTATGTGCGTCGTCAATTTTATTCCGCGACCTTTTTGCATTGGTTTAGAGTCGAGAATGTAAGTCGTATTATCGTTATTACTTTTACAATGTATGCTTATGCGCTGTCAACGTGCTGCGAGTAAATGGCCAGTCCGCTCAGTTGCGAAGTGCATATCTGTATCGATTGCCGCGTCGATTTAAATTTTGAATTTGGAATATTTGTTTTTTTTTCTTTTGTATGTGAATGTGAGCTGTGTTTTTTTTTTGTAAAAGCTTTCATACTTTTTGGATTGGTTCCTGTTTCTTTTGTTACGAAACGCGTAAGTTTGTTTGTCTTTTGTTTTATTTATAATCTTCGCGGGAGGACACGTTTCGCTGCTCTCCTTTTCGCTTTTTTAATGTGATTATTTAATCAGGGATATAATTATGATGTTATATTTTATTTCATACAAGGTACTCGCCTAACTATGTAGGTATTTGAAGTATAGTTTAGTATTGTTTTGCAAAAATATTGTGAAGAATACCAAAATGAAAGTTATGTGTGTCCAAATTGCTGATGCAGTTAGTGACAACGAAATGCTTAGTATTCCGCTCGCCTTTTTAGTAAAATAGACACGTTCTCTCATTGATGTTCACATAGCCATATGCAGGTTAGTGTTTTCAAATAGATACATTTGACCCATTTAAATAATTCTCGATAGCGTTAATTTCATTTATTGAAAAGTTTTGTTTAATTTCAAACGTTACCAACCCCATTCAGCCAGTTAAAAGCAAACTGCCTATTATATATTTATTTATTAGGTATCCGATTCTGTATTTTTTTACTTATTACACGTTAAAAGCATTTGTTATAAGATTAAAAGGATCTTTACGCTTTTTTATTACAGTGTAAAATCTTTTGAGATCGTCGTTTCCATTGTCTGTAGTTGTATTACCTGTTGATGGCTGTACCCATATGCGTATTTATTTTTTTGTGAATTCTTATTTTGAGTTCAAGTATTAATTTCTTCTTTCAATATAGGAACGAACATAAATTGAACATATTGAATACTCATCCATTAACGTCAAGTTGTTTTATAGAAACTCTATCCTGGTTACACACATAGATGTCATTATCAAATAAATTTAATGTTTTTCAAAGTAGGTAACCTGTTGCCTTATACTATATAAAACTGCTTTAACAAAGATAACGACAGCATCAACTTTAATGATATTTAAAATTTAACTGACGTTTTTTAGCCCGCTGTTTGCTATATTTGTTATATCAGAGGAGCTCGATGGCACCAGTAGTTAGCGCGTTCAGCTGCGGTCGTTGAAGTTGAGCAACTTTCGCAGTGGTCGGTCTTTGGATGGGTGACAAAAAATTACTGTCTCGAGCTCCTCCGTGCTTCGGAAGGCACGTTAAGCAGTTGGTCCCGACTGCATCTGCAGTCGTTAGCACCCACCAATCCGCACTGGGCCCGCGTGGTGGGTCATGGCCCAATCACCCTAATCCATCCATAGAATAGAATAGAATAGAATAATTATTTATTTGCGTTTGAACAGGGTAATCAAGGTCATAAATAATTACACATAACTATACTGTAGGTTTCACCTATTCAGCTATAGAACGTAGCATGCAAATTTACATCAGTTTTTTATCAAATTAATTAAAACCATGTCACACGATTGAATAAAAATTACTTAACAGGTCACAAAATAAATACTTAGTCAAAAATATAAAAATTCGATTAAAATCAGGTCATATTAAAATGTGAATCAAAAATATAATTAAATCGGTATATGTCACTCAAAATCTCATCCACCAAAATTACTATTATTTATATATTAGCTATCATAATTCAAGAATTCCTGGACCGAGTAGAATTTACGTTCAATGAGCCATCTATGTAGTTATTTTAAATCTACTGAAAGGCAAATCTCTTATTGAATGTGGAATATTATTAAAAAATTATCACACTGGGGCACAGGCCTTCATATGGAAGGCCTGTCCCCAGCAGTGGGGACATTAAGAGGCTGATGATGATTGCTACATCACACTTCAAGATTCCAACCTGGGAGTTATGACGACACCTATCTACTCAGCTATAGTCTTGGTTCGGATTATACTTTATGTCTCAACTTTAGAATATTCGTCCATCATTTTACTTTCACTTTCACATGAGTCATAAAGTTAACTGTATTTTACAAAAACATAATCGCAAGTCCTAATATTGAGGCCCCGTGTTCGAATTCCGAATTTCGTTTCGATTCTGACAATTCAACATACGTGATTGATGATTGCACCTATTGCTTTTTGTCATTGACATCAATTTTGCTAGTGATACACAAAACAATAAATGCAAATACTAATAGAAGTAGCAAATATATTTACCATTGACTGTGTTTATAAAAATAACTGTGTCAAAAAGCAATATCATTTTATTCATCGAAAAACCTCTGAAATACTGGGTATTATGGGAGGCAGAAATAGCAGAGAAAGGGATTTGCCGCTTGAACAGCAGCACTAGTTTGGGGTAGTAAATTCATAGCATAGAAGACTACGACAAAAAACACTATTATAGCTAATAACGGGATTGTTACCATGTACCTTGTTTTTTATGAGTCTCCGATATTTCGGCACTGTTGCAAGCACCATGATCACGGAGTAATTGAAGTAATTGCGGGTAGATGTTATTGGCAGACATATCGGTCTACCCTCTGACGTCGTCTTTTACTGCGCTCGATACAATGGTACTTGGTAACAATCCCGTTAATAGCTATAATGTTAGTGACCATGAAAGTTTAAAACAAAATAACACTATATTTCCGAGGTATAGGGGATGGATATCTTTCACTTTCTTAAAGATAAGCATAGTTACACACATAGAGGAAGTCATGCTGTTACCAACATAGGCATTCTGTAAGATACAATCTAACTTAAGATCTCATTTATTCCGATCTCCGGCATTTGTCATAGATCATTCAGTAGAAGACATTCCAGTTCAGACATTTGTCAAATATCTAATACTGGCTGCTTGTAGAAGCAGTCATAGACATGGCGACATTTTGCCGAGTAATGGCGTAATACATATCAAACTAATGTTTAAAATCACAGCTACCGAAAAGAAGTTGAAAACTCATTTTTTTTATTTATGGCGAGGTAGGCAAATTACTCTACCCCACCTGATGTTAAGTGGTGATAGAGTCCAAACGCGAAGATAGCTGGTACAGCAGTTATAAACTGCTACACCAACCATCCTTACCTTGCCGGCCTGCAAAATGCTTCTTCACGCCTCTCTTAAAAGGAAGGAAGAAAATAAAAATATCATATAACTTTTACACTTTCTTCTGTAGACAACAGTATTAGTTCTATCTCACGTGGTTCTATGACCTAAGGTTCTATGGTGGCGCATATTTTTTCTTTTATTTTACCTTAAATAGTCCGTCGACCTCTTGGAAGCTGATCTCAAGCCTACACATTTTTGTGATTCATTGCGCAATCATTGCCAAATTTTGTTGGCAATTTCATTTTGTTCACTGTTTCCGCGATAAATCCCCAGTATCCCTACTGATCACACAGCTTGATCAGAACAAAATTCATGCATTTATTTATTTATTTTTATTTATTTAATCTTTAATGCCTTTACATTGCATATGGCGGACTTAATGCCAGCATGGCATTCTTTACCAGTCAACCGGAAAGAACGTGCAGAGTCAATAAAACGGCAGACAATCATAGGAAAGAGCAAACATCAAACAATGAAAAACAAAATTAAATAGCGTCTAATACATACACATATACATACATAGAAACATAAATATACATACATACACACACATATACTATACCTATAATATAGTGTCCGATTTTAGTATCCCGATTCAACTTAAGCACTATGCAACAAACATTCGTATGCATTCTTTGTATAGTTCAGATTACAGATCAAAAGGAAAACGAAACACGCAATACGTGGCACCATAGCATATAGCGTGTTCCATGCGATCCACCTGCCTTTTGTTCTCAAATCTAAGTTGTATAGTATATAATTTTGTCACAAAATTCTCTTGATATTTTCAAAATTGTCCAGGTCACTCAATAATACAGTATTTACACAAGAAAGCAGATGATAATACATCTTATTTTATGTAACGGGCTGGTGTATTGTACTTCCTACTGAATATTATAAATGTGTATGTTACTCAATTACACAAAAATATGAAAAATATACTGGGTGAATATATTGATGACCTCCGTGGCCGAATGGTGTGTACGCCAGGTTATGGTGTCGCCTACTCGAGGGGTCCCGGGGTCTAATCCCGGTGGGGGCAGATATTTGTGTAGTCATGGATGTTAAATATGTATTTCTATATAAATATGCTTATATATTTATAAGTATATGTATTCTATCCGTTACCCTAGTATCCCATAACACAAGCCTACAGTGGTTACTTTGGGCTAATTGATTTTAGTGTTGGAGATATTTATTTTATTTATTAATATTTAAGGTTCCTTTCCTAAAACATTAAAGTTATACAAACATTTTTAGGCACTTGTTTTGTCTGTAATTGAAATTTCGATAACTACCAGTATGATTTTGATATATTGTTTTAACAAAGAAAACTAATATGTTAAAAGCCATGAGCTAGAGAGCCAATCGGCGCAACGCACGCCCACCCGCGCACCTCGTTTCCCCCCAACACATCTTAATTTTTACTTCTGCGCAATAATGGTCAGCGGTAGAGTTTCGTGCCGCGACTTATACTTAAATGTAAGGCCTTGGTATATACTACAACGCGCTATACTACAACGTAATATCATAGCGTAGTCTGAACGAACCTTTTTGTTCGAAGTAACTTACTAAGAACCCCAAATAAAGTATAATAATGACAAATTCCATTGTTTTCATACATTTCTGTCATTTGATACTTCAAGGTTGCAAATAGCAACACATTCACTGGCTTATTTTATTTAACCTAAAGATAAGCTATCGTTTCGTTACGCGATCGTGAATGTTATCTTCGTAATATTTTTATTGATATGTAACAAAAATAGTTTTGTATGTTTTCAAGACAAGCTGGCTAGGACAGAAGTTTATGAAACAGAAATATGTGTTATTTATATAACTATCACAGGCAATACCTTCAAAATGTCCTGATTAACAAATGATATATACAACGTCAAATGCATTGTTTAGATCCAAAACAGCAGTAATGAATCATAGTAACAGACAAACAAATATTATACCACAAAAACAGGAGTCAATAACAAACTCAAGTTGTAAAACAGCTTCTTTATAGTTGTTTAACTTGATCCTCTATTTTTCTGATTATAATTAAG